AATAAAAAGAATATGTAATACTACAGAACACTTACAAGAAGAAATACTTTACTTCCAATTTTGAAAAATAACCAAATTCCTCATAAAATAATTAAAAATACCTTAAAAAAAGCTGGCATTAGCCTTACCAATTTTTAGATAATTTATTTTGAATAATGAAATTTAATGCTTAAAGCCCAATGGGGCGGTATAAAGTGGATGTCTGATTCAGATAATCTAATGTAAAAATTGTATAAATGTACAGATTATTCTCCTAAATACATTTTCTTTCCTCCAAAGATTTTGGCACTATACTTTAATACTATTATTTAATAGTTTTAAATTACTTAGAAGGCCAAACTCTACTATTATTAACAAATCGGGCCTTTTCATTTTTCATAGTAGCTTGACCGCCCTCTAGCTTGAAGAATGACGACTTTTATTAACAAATGACTTTTTTCCAATTTACTCTTTCTTTTGTGGCCAAAAATAAGTAATTTTAGCTGAATTAGCCATTTTCACTTATTTGTAGCAGTTTTGTTCTTCTAACAACTTGACTGACGCCATTTTGAGTTCTTTCCGTGTCTTTTCACGTCTGTCACACCCTCTATAAAAAAAGGGGGGACAAGGAATTCCCGCCAAAATTACAATCTCAGCCCATTGGCCTATGCAGATTTTATTGTTTCGCCCACCTATACGTCACACGACGAGAAGGAAGGTTGGTTGGACACGGAGGGGTTTTGCATCCTTTTCTAAAATTTTTTCGGATGCAAAGGACGGAACCTCCCAGGTCAGTTTTTTTCGTTTCTTTTGTCTGTGTTTTTTTGGTCCTAATAAGACCCTACGACGTTTGTTTTCTTGCAAATTTAATTGCATATTAATTTGATTACAGCACCATTCTCTTATAAAAGTTCTATCTTCTTTAAGCTATACAGGACCAGCCCGTACGTTGTTGTAATTTTTTGACTAATAGCAGACCGCTATTTATTTTATTTTGATTTTAATTTTACATTGCTCGGAGTTGCAATTACTTTTTAACACCCTAATGTGTTTTTCAGCGGACGCGTCGGGAAAAAGGAACAGAGCAGTGAAGCTCCAAAAAAGATTTATTCGGGAATATTCATGTTTTTATAAAAAAATTTTCGCATTAAACAAGAGCTTCAATGGTCTGTTTCGGCGAAACGCGTAATGGTATTTAGCCTAGTTCGACACTCAGTCATTTTTCCCTTGAAAAGCCTGGTTGAGGGTACGAGTGGGTTAATTTACCATTTTCCGCTATGTAATTATTGTATTTTTGCATTTTATGTTTTCATTATAATTTTTGCATTTTATGTATTGGCATTTTTTCAGTCCATATATTTTTTTATATGTATTAACTTTTCATATATATATTATTTTTTTCCGTCAATCTATTTTTTATGTGTGTTAACTTTTCACATATCACAACGGTCAGATTAATTTTTTCGTGCATTAGCATGTCTTCCAACATTAATTTTGGCAGTTTTTTTCGCGTGTTTACAGTTTTTTCCAGTTTTTCCAGACAAAAAATTTCTTCTTAGTTCATATTTTAGTAATACAGCGTTGAAATATTTCGTGGAGCTACAGCTCCTGGTAACTTTTTAGCAAGATCGCTGCAATGTTTCTACCTACTACTATTATTTCATATCTTTTTGCAGCATTATGCGCAAAAAATTTTTAAGACCAAATAGGTCTTGCGTCTAACTACTTGTTAGCTTTACAATTTCCTTTTCAATTATATATATGTGTGTGTAAGATATAACAAAATAGTATGGCTACTTTAAGAATGATTGGTGATCTCAAAATTAATTCTAGATTTTATGTTCTTCCAAATTTGAGATCTTTTCATGTTACATAACAACCTAAAACTAACTAAATACAGCCTAGAGCAGTTTCTGCAGCTGCTAGGTATAAATACCGCTTGCAAAAAATAGTTATGTCATATCTTTTCCTAGCTTCCACCATTGCCGAAAATCTCTTCGCTGCTATGGTTGCTTGTCTAAGATGAAGTCGCTCTCTTTAACCTATGTATATAAGAAATTATTGTAATTGCTTTTTATCTTGAAGTACGTTAACTATCAAGAAATGATTTAGTATGAGTGAAAATAAAGATTGGGAATTCTTCAAATTCATGTGTGTCAGCGTCGTCGTCCTATCTTTCCACTTGACTATCAAAAGCTGCTAAACATCCATCTGCCTAACTGCACTTTGAAAATGCTAGTTAATAAAGTTGACAGGATGACAGTGCAGAAGTTTCCCCAATGGTTTTCAGTGACTGCGAAAAAAAATAAAAAGTGATTAACTCTGCTGCGGATTGGTGTTTTTCTTCATCTTCACAAAAGAGGTCAGGTTCATAGTGATGACGTCTGCTAAAATCTTCTAAAGGTTTGTTATGTGCATTTAGTGAAAAGCGTGTCATCTAGTGTTCAAGCATGTGCATTTAGTGAAAAGTGTGCCATCAAGTGTTAAAATATGATGCTTCAAATTGGTTTTCCATGCATTAAGTATAGTGATATCGGTGCTTCTAAAAATTGTTATTTAGTGAAAAGTGATTTAATGCTAATAATTCTTCAGAAAAAGTGTGTTTCATTCTGCAAATCGTCAGAATTTCTGATTGGTGGAAGCTAGGAAAAGGGATAATGTAATTACTTGTGAGTGGTAGTTATACCTAGTTGATGCAGAAAGTGCTCTAAGCTGTGATTGGTTAATTTTAGATTATGTAACATGGAAAGATCTCGAATTTGGGAGAACAGATGAATTTGAGGGGAGAACATAAAATCTAGAATAGTTAATTTTGATGTCGGCAATCATTCTTAGAGCAGGCATCATATTTTGTTATATCTTGCATATTCTCCCCCCTCCAAAGAAAAGTTGGGAGAGCATTGCTGGAAGAAAAAGCATTAGTGTATTAGTGAAGCAAGAGAAAGTTTATCATATGAGGAAAGACATGAGGAATCATCAAGGACATATAGCCTGCAGGATTTCCTATGCCCTGCCATTGTTCATGACCTTTCTCATATGAATATGAAATACTTATGATTATGATGAAATTATATGATTATGAAATACTTAAACATATAATTTACAGCTATTATAACAAGAATATAATCTCTAAATAAAACTAAATAATAAATGGAACTGCTCTGATATGCGCCCTCAAGTCACCAAATTTCTCGCCAAATTTGGCGAGAAACTCCACACTGCCATATTACTATCTAAATGCTTTGTCTACATTTCGAACTTTTAAGCCAAAAATGTCTTTAAAAATGCGGTTTTCGGACATGCAAAAACTATGTTTTGAACATACAATTTAAGCTAAAAAATCCAAAACAAAAACAAAAAATTTAGATAGCAAAAACATAAAGTTTCTAACCAAAAATATTTGACAAGAATCCATGTACACAGCGATATGTTTTAACTTAACTATGAATGGCACAATCTAGGCAACGAATGAATTTACGAACTACGCATACCTCGCTTTAATAAATTAACATAACAGCAATAAATTTCGAAGAATACCATGTATACAGCATCCTGTTTAAACTTAAAAAAACATCTACGAATTGCACAATTTAGGCAAAGAACGAATCTATGAACTACGCACACATCGCTTTAATAAATTAACATAACAATAAATTTCAAAGAATACCATGTAACAGCATTCTGTTTCAACTTTAAAAAATATCTACGAATTGCACAATCTAGACACTACGCACTAATCAACAAAATAAACTAAAATAAATTTCAAACAATTAAAAAAACGATAACGACAGAAATTCATGCTAAAAAACAATGAACATAACATTCTACAAAATAAAAACAAGAATAAAATAAAGTGCACTTACCATGAATTAATGCTTTTTCGAACAGCAGAAATACCAATTTCATACCGCCTTTAATATGCCACCACATAATCACTATTGTATTTATATGACAGCCAGACACACTATCTAGAAAATTCATACTATGGTTCACAAATAAATAAAATCACAAATAATCACAAATCCCTATTTCTATCATGCACAGCCACTAAAAAATAATCTTTCAGATCATCTTTCCACACCAACGAGAATGGCAAACCAGCAAGCTCCAGCGAAAGATTTTTCAACGTCAACAGGGTTGCCATACAACACGCAATCGCGCCAAAAAACAGTGCTGAATACATATCGCTACATTTGGTAAATTAGGGCATATATCAGAGTTGTACCTAATAAATTAACACAGATATAATTGTTTAAAGTCCTTAAGTGCTTTGAAAAAATATCCACTGAAAATTTTTATAAAGTCTCTTGATGAAAATAGTTCCACAAAGTAAGTATTGAAATGTTAATTGAGTGAATTCTTATTGTCGATATGCATATTTAATACAATAAAAAATTCAGTATAAAAACATGAGATAATGCAGTACTGACTAACACAATGATACTTTGATGATTAATTGGCATGTCCTCTCCAATAAAATCACCGTACCAGCCTGCTGATGGTTGAAGGATTGCAAGTACAATATATCTCCCCTATGAAAATACAAAATTATGACTGAAATTTAAGACAAATAACTCATATAATCAAGTCTTTTAAATTTTGTAAAATATAATTGAATATTACCCTACAATAACAACACAGAAAGGAAAAATTTTGTTTTTAAAATTATGTAAAACGTATGTATGATAGTACATGTGTGTGCGTGGTATTACATTTAACATGTTTTTCTTTTGCTAGTTTAGTTTTAATTTTAACTTGATCAAAATTTACTTTGTATCTTAGCAGTATAATTCATTTTATGACCTTATTACATATTATTTTCTTCAATTCGAAATATATGTTATATGTGCATGTGCATGTGTGTGTGTGTGGAAATGTTCTTTTCGGAAACACTTTTAACTATTATTTTTCTTCTAGATTTTGGTTGTATTAAATGATTTTAATATAAAGCCATTAAGCAACAATAGTTTGTATTCTATAAAAAATTAGTTTAGTAATTTTATTTCTTATTAAAATAATAGGATTATGACCCATTTGGTGACAGAAGAGTGCCTCGAATTGTGGATCGAGAGGATGAGTATCGTGCTCAAAGGAGGAAATTCATGATTTCTCCTGAAAGACTGGATCCTTTTGCTGATGGTAAGTTGTATGCTGGAAATTCTATTTCGTTATGTAATTCATTTTTACATGTTTGGCAGTCTATTGTTTCATAATAAAATAATACAATCACTTTAAAATTCATTTTTGTGTTTTATTTTGTTCGACTGGTAACAGAACCTAAATATCTCAATCTTAATAGCAGATTTCTGTAGCAGTTATTTAAAATATATTTAAAAAAAAATTGTGATCTTATTTGAATTGGAAATAAAATCATAATGAAAGAGCAAAAATATTCAAAGATCAGTTCTTTTAACTTTTGAATGTAAAATATTTTGCATGTTTTACAGTGTACTTGAGGTTAACATTAAAAAAAATTGTAAAAATTATGTAAAAATACTTTCACTGTGTACAAATACTCTGTTTTAGTTGCTCAATTATGCATAACTTCATCAGGAATGGTCAGGTAACAATGATGTAGAAGTTTTTGAGGGTCTGGCAAGACCTTTTATTCACATATTTGGTGCTTGATTTTTTTTTTTTTTTTTTAAATAGATTGCAAATTTGGGTTTATTTGTATCGTTTTAATTTCTTATATGTAAATGGAAAAGTTATAAATAATAATGATTTTCCTAATAGGAGATAAAATTATATACTTTCCAGTGATAAGATTGTGTTAAAAAATATTTTGCATTTGTTTAATTTGAAAAGGCTTTTTTTTTATTATTATTATTATTATTATTATTATTAAAAAGAATAATTCAGTTTGGTGTTTGATGATTATTGATCTAAAATGCATCAGTGTCAGAATCATAAATTTTTTAGAAGGATGAAAATAAAATGTCTGAATCTGAATTATTGATTGAGAGATCTGTGAGAGGAATCTTAAGATGCAAGTGGATATCAAACTATTAAATGAAATATTTTCCGATTTGCCTTTAAATAGGTTATGGAAATTTTACATTACTCTTCAGTAGTTGATTGTGTGTGGAAAGTTTATTTTCTGTCATAATAAAGCCATCTAGTTTGCTTGGAAAGTTCCGTGAATATTAAACGTCAACGGAGTTAAATACCTTCATTTAGTACATTTGATCATTTAAAAAATTTTTGTTATTTATGTAGCTGAGAAACATGTTATCTGAAAGATGTTCATGTAAGTCATCAATAATTTTCTTTTGTGAATGGTAAATTCAGTCTTGTTCCTAGCAGTGAAAATTACACTCATATCTTGGTTTCGTTCATTCCTGTGATAGGTAGGGAATTTAACTAAATTTTTTTTGGGTCTGGCTAGAGTACTTTTGATAAGATTTAGTATTTTAGGTTTAGATTATGCATTTTTTCCAGTACTGTTTAATACCGACTAGAATAAAATGAATGTAAATAAGGGACTCTTATTTATCTCTTGTGTTCGAAAACAGCATTTCACTCTTAGTTTATATTTTGTAACAATAGTTTTTCAAATGATTTCGAATATTCAGTACTTTGATCATTTTACTATAATCACACTCCATATATTAAAAAAAAAACAGTAGGAACTTCGGATGGTTTATTAAAAAGGGTACATTTTCGGTTGTTTCACACATATTAAAAAAAATCTAAAATGATGAGAATTCACAGTAATGCATCCCAGTGTTCCCTTCAAAATATGTATGTACGCATATATTAAAAGTGATAGCTTTGAGTTTTTTTTAAAAGGTCCCTTTCTTTCTACGGTTGAGAAAAAATTTGCAGTTTTTCATGCTAAGTTTCGAATTAATCTGTATTTTTCAAAAACTCTAGACTGCCAAGTATGAATGGTTGAATGCCTGAAATAGCATGAAAGGCTATAAATTATAATAATTTTAATTTATTTAAATTAAATATTAACTTGTGTGTATCCAGGTGCATCTTTTATCCACAGAAAATTTTTTTATACTCGCTGATAATTAGAAAAACTCAGAGATACTAAGTGTTATGTATTTGACACTCTTAGTATGGTTTAGTAACACAATGTTTTTTCAGGTAACAAAAGTTCCATAAAACCTGCTGAATGGAAGGAGAAGAATTACAGTTTTTCATAATGTGCCCATATTTTATAAAAAATGTGCTTGAATCATAGCTCTACTAAGCCCTTTTTTTAATTTCAGGTGCAACCTAAGAGAGCAGTTGTTTTAAGTATTGGTTGAATGAAGAAAAATGCAGAATTTTTTTTTCCAATTGTCTTGGTTTCGATATACTGATTCAGTTTTATTTAGAAATATAAAAAAGCCAAAGCATCTGCACAGCATTTGATGGTAGTCTTAATCTGTAAAGAAGTGGATACAAAATATAGTTCTAATAAAACAATTGTCACAAAATCCTTAATTCAGTTAATATTAATTTTATGATTTGTTAATGATTGTATAAGAGTGGGAGCTGAATACGAAAAGTTACCGAGTATATTGAGAAGGATGTCCATGAAACCATTTGAGTTTTAAGTTTTCGGCTGATGAAAGGATAGAGTCTGCCCAATTTAAAATTTCAAACCATTGCAGTGGATAGCAATGTTTTAATTCTTTGTTTCCTTTATGTTTAAAGACAAATATTTTGACTCCAATTCTGCATGTTGCTTAAATGTGTTTTTGTTGTATTTTTTAATTCCAATTCTACCAGACTGTTTTAATATTTGTGATAGGATTAATCTAGTGATAACGTTATTAAAAAATACATTAAATTGCTTTTCACACATCTTAAAATAATTTAAAATGAATTCATTAGAATTTTAATAATATTTTTGCACGCTACATTACATCTTATTGAATTCAGTCTTTAGAATATTTTTAAATACCTGTTCAATAATTGTTTGAAATTAGTTTATTTCTTTCTTCTTTTCCCATTTAGCTGAAAATTAAAATTTGTGAGCAAAAATGAGGTAATAATTTTAAGATTTCCATAAATATGGCTGCAAAGAAAACTCAGAATTTTATTCAGGTGAATGCAAAAATAGTTGAAATCTTTAGACCCTCCTGATTCTTCTAAAATAGCCATAGAAACAAAAATAGCAGATTAAAAAATTTATCTTATGAATCTGGATGACTATTTTACATATCCATTTGTAGTTTTCTTGGTAACTGGTGTACAGAATTAAAAAAATGAGGATAAGATCTTAGTATAGAATATCTGGCCCTCTATAAATGAGGCTTTTTATTGAGGAAGAAATTCTGTATTATGGTAATCAATAATTCTTTCAACCACACATTTTGTGTTGTAACCGACTATTCTAATTCGATTCTTCCTAATCTAGTTATTTTTTATCTGATCCAAATCCATTATATATAGTATTTAATTATGGGTTAAATATTTGCATACCACATATAATTCTTTTCAAGTGTTCCTTACATTTCATGAAGATCTGATTTTTTTTTTTCCTGTAAGTTTATTCTCTTTGTTCTGGTTTTGTTTCATTTGTTAAAGCACACAACATATAAAATGGTTTTTTTTAAAAAGTTGAATAAAAAAAAAATTAAATTGTAATTCTATAAGAGTAGATTTTCTTTTTCTGTGTTCTTTTTCAATTTAAAGTATGCAATCAGTTTTCTTAATTATGAAAAATGTGTTATTTTATTATAATTTAAACTTTTACCAAAGTTGAAATTGTGTATTAAAATATGTGTTAAGCAAGATCAGTAACTAAAATGAGCAGTTTATTATCGTCATCAGTAACACAGTTTAATATTTAAAGTCTTCCTTTTCTTATAAGTTAAAAAGAAGATTAATCTTTAAGAGAGCAATTAATAATAAAATAAAGCAAAATTTTTTCAGAATTTATCGTTTTGCTGTATTAAAAGATATAATTTGAGCTTATGTGCATTAGAAAAGAGGAATGTTCTCAAACTATAATATAATAGAAAAATTACCAAGACACCAACTATTACAAGACTATTGGTGAAAACTAATGTTTTCATTTTTATTAAGAATTGGAGAATCCTTGCTGGAAATAGGACAAGATAGATTCATTCAGAATATGAGAACTCTCTGTTGTGCTGCTGGGGGGGGATAAAAAATGAAACGTGCCTGGGATATACTGATGATGTAATTTCCTGTCACCTCAGTTAAATTACCTATTAAATGTGAAGGAGTGGTTTTATTTGATAAAACTAGGTATGCATGCTGGTACTTAAATTCAGATACTTCCTTAGGGAATGTGGGTAGTATGTGAGCATGCTTGTATTAAATGTGAACTTTTTAATCTGGTACTGAATCTTGGGTAATTGTTTCCCTCTATTTGAGAATCTCTGTGTTATTCTTTTTATCCAAGTAATTTAAATTAATTATGAAAAAAAGTTACTTTTAGATGTCTTAATTTTGAGTTTGAAGATATTATCAGTTATATATTTGTGCAAGGAAGTTCCTTTAGTAGGATTGCATGATAGTTATATTTTTGCAGTATCTTTCTTGAGGGGGAGGGACTCTGTTATAAAATATGCAGAACTTACAAGACATTCAGTAAATTAAATCTCAGTAATTACTGTATATAATTAGACAAAGAATTGAATTAAAAAAAATTTCATTTAAGAATAAATTGCATTCCAGACTATTTACTTATAACATCCATGTCGTGTGAAGATGATAAATTGTAAATACCATGTAACCATTTAAATGACACAATATTGATTTCAAATAATTTGTATGTTTAAGGGCAAAATTTACAGATTACTTTTCAGGATTTCTTTAACATAATAATTTTACACAAATGCCAAAAGTAATGCAGTTTTATTTAATTATTGGTTTCTTTATTTAATTAACTATTTATATATACCTACTTTACCAAAAATATAGTATTTATTGTTTACGATATGTGTATAGCTGTAGTTCAAGAAGAGCTTAAACTATGGAAAGCTTCTTGAATTATGATGTATATCAAATAAGGAAATGATTTTTAAGAGGATCTTGTTTAAACTAATTAGTCTTACATTCTTTAATACATTTGTAACTGACAATTAGTATTTTGCACATAATTAAATCTGAGTATATTTGATGTCAGTATCTTGCATGTAAGTGGAGTGCTAGCAATTTCATATTTATGTGCTGTCTGATGGAAAATGCCACACAATAAAGGAATGCTTAAAAGCAGACCAAACTGCATACATAGATAGCCTGTAAGACCTAAACAAATGATTTAATTTTTATATGTAGATAAGTCCATTTGTTGGATGTATAGGTTCATTTTGGGCAGTATTGAATTTGAAATGAGTCTGATTGATGTCCTGGAGTAATGTGAATTGTGTGGTGTTGATCTGTCCACAGTTCATCTCCCTTTCACAGAATTAGGTTATTGGTGTCCAGTTGCGTTCCACACGCTCTGAATTAGTGAGAGTTTTGGAAGTAATGATAGCCAAGGGAAAATCTACATTACTACAAAGCTGAGGCTGGTATGGTGTAACAGCATTATTCTGTTGAAATGGGGAATTTAGTATGGCATGCAGATGCATTAATGGCACAACTCACAGCACTTTAGTGATATTGCAGTATGCCTATAACATATTCTAAAGTTGACTGTAAAGGCTGGAATCATCTTAAATCAGAATTCCATATTATTGGAATATTTGTAGTTGAATATGATGTTTTTTCCCTTCACTCCATTCAGCTCTGTGGCAACAATAACCATCTCCCCCCCTTTTTTTTTCAAGTGGAGTTTTTGTGGTGGATATCTGAAGAGCAAACTATTTGCATATACAGCATCACGTGACTGCCTATATTGATATAGGAGTATATAATGTTCCATACATATGCTACAAAATACATCAACAGCTATAGACCATAGGTGGGCTACGATATGATATTGGATATGAGGATCCGCATGTTGTGATATTTGTCTGTATGCTCTGCTTCTCAATGGTATTGCACATTTCCTTTGCGAGACCGCTCTGTCCAGATATGGGTAACAGTTATGGCATCATATTGTTCCATTAGCAGTTTGCCACAAAGTAATATGATAGTATATACTGCAAAATTCACCCATTTGATGGAATTTTACATTACTGTATCTTAAAAGTATTAGTGCCCCTTATTTATTCTTCAAACATACTAGCAGCAGAGCAATTCGTGACTATGATGATGTCGTGACTGATACTTTCACAACTGATATTGTATGCTATTTACATGATTGGCCTGAAAATAGAATGATTTGCATAACTTGTATGTGTGTGCTAGTCCTGCTAATTTATGATATTGAGTTCATATTTTCATGATGTGGCATTTTCTGTGTGAAGTATGTATTTGATCTTCAATTAGGAATATTATACTGTTAACAAACTGTTTATAAATAGTAATTGCATTAAATAACATGGTTACTCTGGGTCTATATATGCATTTTTTTTTTTTTTTATATATATATATATCTGGGTTTCAAGGAATTGATGATATATGGAAAGTAAATAAAAATATTTCTGAATCAGTAATTGTCATGAAGGACACAGAAAAAAGGCCTTATGTAAAATTGATTTTAAAAAAATACATCCAAGTAAATTTGACTTGAAAAACTAAATTTCTAAATATTTTTAGAGCTGTTTGCCAAAAGAAGAATAACAAGTGATGGTGGAAGTTTATACCTTTTGTGATTATGCATATATTTAAGCATTTTTATATTGAATAGCATGCTTACAGATCCACTATATTGTAGTAGATTTATTTAAAAAAATTATTTATCCAGATATTTTAAATGTATTTTGAGCTCAATTCTGAAATTATAATGTACTCAGATCACAAAATGTTACTTTAGAAGTGCCAAAATAACATTTAATTTTTATCTCTTAAAATTATGGAATGTATGGAGCGTGAATGACAACTGTCTTTGATCTGAAAAACACTAATGATGGAGAATATTTATAGGCACTCTGATGTCATGGTTCCAGTTACTGAATGACCATTCCAAGGAGTCATGCACGTACGTACCTAGTCTTAGAAAAGCTGGCATGAGAACACTGATTTGTATTTTTCTTTTGGATTATTACCTGTTGTTTTATTATAAATATATTATATGTTGTAATGTATGTTAGATATCTGATAAGCTCTGATCCATAGAAAATTAAGTCTTTCTCAGAGTGGAAATTTATGAGGTTACTATTTACTTTTTTCCCAAATTTATGCAAGGAATAATTTTTTTTTCTTACTTTTTTGGAGGGCAGGGGATATAGGATGTACCATCTAGAGTTTACACAACTAAGGCATACTAATTATGTAAGCATGTATTCAAACTTCCAGTTGACTAGAAATCAATTTTCTAATCTTTTAATTATTTCTCTGAATCTTCAAATTTTTTAATGAAATATGATTTATAAAAAATGATTCATTTTTTATTCACATTAATTCTTATTTTTATCGTTGTTCATTGGAATTCAAGATGATTCCTGCATTTCTATGGTGCAGTAAGAACTTTATGCAGCTTTTATTTTCTTTAAAAGAAGCTAGATTTCATTTTTTCTTTAAATATTATTTTTGATACTTCCATTCATATTAAGTGTCAGCAGTTAAACATTCAGTGATTGTGTCCAAATCTAACTGCAGATGCAAAATCATAGAATAAAATTGCATGTTGCTATGGTTATTAAATTATTAATTTTAACAAATTGAAATTTTATTTAGTTTTATGGCTTTGTAAAATTTTCCTGAAGTTGATTCAGTAGAAATCAACAACAGTTATGCCGTTGTGATACAATTGTATTTCTTGGTATTTTCTCAAAGATATTAAAATTAATAATTTTCTTGGTATATTGGCTAATTTAGCCAAAACTAGGCAAAACACCAACCTTATTTTGGTATAGATTTTGAACAACACTATGTTGATTTCAAGGGCAGTCAGACACTGGTTCCTCTTTTTCAGGAATGGAATTGCTTCTAGAGAAAAAGGACGTGTATCTGATTGCCCTTTAAATCAATTGAATTTTATTCAAATTCTGTGTGAAAATATGGTTGCTGTTTTGCCTAATTTAAAATTTTACATTGGCATGTTTCTCTTCCAATTTCGTTTTAGTATAGTTTTTCTTTAAAAAAGGTATGCTTATTTATTGATATTGTGCAAACTCTATAATGGTATATTTTATGTCTGTTAAGTTTCAGTTCTAAAAATTTTTTGACAGTCTTAAAATTTATAGGCAAATATTTATTTTTTCCCCCTTCATTCCTTCGCTAATTTAGTATTTTACACAGTGTTCTCCCAGCTTAGTTATGCTTAAGCTTATTCACACAATTCTTACAAAATTCAGAAAATTAGTGCTATTAAAAATGAAAAGTGTGCTTGAAGTATATTACTGTTCCCATATTGCCATTCCATATTATCATTCTTCAAAAACTGATAAAACTATTGCAGAAATAAAACTGATAAAAATATTCCAGGATATCTTTTTTAAAATTGTGTGAATATGCTTTTGATTTATGGAGCATTTTAAAGGTGAATTTAATCACTATTTCTTTGCATGTTTTTGCAGGTGGGAAAACACCAGATGCACAATCAAGAACATACCAAGTTATTATGAGGGAGCAAGCCCTTAACAAAGATCAGGTATTTTTATTTTTTTAAATGTTATTTCAGTGTAAAAATAATTAGAGATTTTTTTTTTTTACAAGTCATACTATTGAATAGTGTTAATCTTAAGTTTTAAATATTTGATACTATTATCTAATTAAAAAGATTTATAAATTTATTAAAATTGTATTTCCTCAGTTTTCATATTGATAAAATTAAACTCCTTTAGAAACTGAGCTTATCAGAAAAATGAGCTTGATAAGTAATAAGCTATAATAAGTTTATATGTTAGTGTTTTTAGCTGAAAATTTTGAAAACTCAGTGTATGATTCTGTAATAAGATCCTTTTGCTATAGAAACATTGTTTCAGTGATCTGAAGATTGTTATTTTCTCCTTTAAGATATATGTTTGCATTGGTTACATAATTAACAATAAATGCTGTCAGAAAGAAAACATGGTGGAAGTAGTTACTCAAGGAGAAGAGATATTATAGTTGGTTTTCTGATATAGGAGTAGGAATGAAATATTTCATAACATAAGTTGGGGTGTAAATTTAAGTTATGATGAAGTCAGTCACCCTGTGTGTCCTTATATATTATAATTGGGAAAGGAAAAATTATTTTATGCTATTGTGGTCAAAATACTTGAATTCTATCCTGTAAGATAATCTTGGCCAGAACTGGAATGGAGCTTAAGTTGGCAGTCTTTGTGTTCCTTCTGAATTGAATGATCATAATCACATTCCGAATTATTAATTTGGTTTATTAATAGAATATATGGGCTCTAGTGTAGAATTGGGTGCCCCTTTGATTGGCGGCAAATTTTGTTCAGTTTTGAAGATGAAACCCGATTTCTTGTTACCATGATAGTTTTAACTTTGCTTTAGTTTCCTATTTTTTTTTTTTTTTTTTAAAACATAATTCAAACACAGCACACCTCCATTTCTGTTGCTCTTCTTTAGATCTCTGATGTTCCTCTATTTGCTTCCTGTAACAGTGGCTCTCTTACAATATGATCTCTCAATGGATTTACATTTGTGTTCAATATATAATTTAAATAATCTGGTCTGTGACTAAGAGCATTTGCTTTTGAGGCCTATATGTTCAAGGAAAATTTGTGCATCTATGCAGATGCACTTTTATATAGTTTTTTCAAAGCGTATTTGAAACTTCCCTTCATCTAGTTAATTTGTAGTTTATTTTTCATAGTTTTACATTATCAGTGAATTTCATCTTCCCTGCAAATTCATTTTAAAAGGTTTTAGAATGGAACAGTAACACATTTTGTTTCTACTAGTGAAATCTTTTAAAATAAAAATGGTCAAATGTTTTCAGTCAGTGTCATGATGGAACAAATTCTTCCAAATATTGTTTTCTGGATTTGCAAACCCTGTCGAACATGCCCCCAAAAAGAGCAACATGATAGTCCAAAGTTTTATTGTGAATTTTAATTGATAACAGTGATGGTTTGTGTGAAATATGGATTTGAGGGAAGTAATTTGTACATTTTTAATGGGAGGCATGACCATCACACATGATACATGAAGCATTATGCTTCTCACTCTCTTTTGACTGGCATTTCATTTTGAATTATGTTTTGAGACTGCAGCTGCATTGTTGCTGCAACAGACTGTATTGTGAATGGTGATTCAGATTTTTGAAAATTATTTATTTAATTCATAATTAAAATGAGCAAACGTATCTAACATATATTATAGTTTAGAACAAATTTGTTACTAGAACTTATTTCATGTTGATATGATGCTTGTGATTTTTAGACTTTGGCATCACAACAGTATGTTTATAAATGTTTAAAATATATATATCTGAATGTGCTGAACATTCAGTGGGTGTATAATGCAAGACAAGATTTTGAAAATTTTGCTGTTTATATTATACTTTAAAACTAGGAAGTCTTAATTAAATATCTGCTTTTCCAGGTTGAATTAAAAAAGAAAATTTCTGAAAAATCGAAAGCTGGTGAATTGAAACCAACAGAAAATGGTGAAGTGGCTGCCAAACCTGGTAAGTTTCAAATGAATAATGGCACATTTATTCTTCAGCTCATTTTATAGTAACAACTATTTTTAAAGCCTCCTTTAAATTCCCCCCCCCCTTTTTAATTAATGTTTGTTGCTGTTGTTGAATTTTGTAAAATGTTATTTAAGTGCCAAGATTTTTTTATTCATGTTAAACTTTATTTTTGGAATAAAGATTTCTGAGTCATGTTAATCTTATATACAGTAAAAACTCTGGAAGAATTGAGAAATGTTGACAAATGTTAAATGGAAATATAATAATATGGAAAAATTCTGGACAGTTGAAAAATAAACAGTAGAAAATTCAAGTGAATTTTTAGAAGGAGAAATATCCAGTCTAAAATTATAAATACAATCACCTGATTTATCAAAAGCCTAGATTTAAATTTACATAAGATTTCTGGGGGAGGGGGGAAGTTCATTTTAGACATAAAAGCCAAAATATTTTTATAGGTTTTAACATATAATACAACAATATACTTAAAACAAATAAAACATATAAAAGTAAACTTTATAAAAGACATAAAGCTTTAAACATTGAAAAGTAAAACAATTTAACCATTTTATAAAATCTTGTCAACCATGAAAGTTGGTGAAGATCCTATCAAATTTTACCAGCAGAAATTTGAAGGAACAGACCAGTTTTAGCTAATATGGATGTATTGATTGTTAAAATTTTCAGTTTCTCATGCTGTTATTAAATTGTTTAATTTTATTATAAATATTCTAAAGGTGCCTTATATTAAAGTTAAGGGGGAAAATATTTAAAGTACCCCAGAATGAGATTTACCAGTTTTTGGCACTCGATCAAAAATAGGCTTATCAATGGCTGAGTGGTAAAATCACTGAAATGCTTGAATATAAGCCAGTTTCCCCTTGAACAATCCTCTGTGAAGACATCCCTTTCCGTAGGCAGATAACCTTTGAGTGCTTTGTCGCGATTTAAATAACCGTAATTCCCAACAGGTGGGGACACGTATATATATTTTTTTACACATTTTCTTACTTTCACGTTGAGTTTCAACTACCAGTTTTAAATGTAAATAAATGTATATAGTACTGCTCTTTGATACTTAACAGTTATTAAATTTTCTGAATATTAGCTCTAAATATCTATACTGTGTGTCTCTCTCTCTATATATTATATATATAGATGGGTAAGTTTTTGAAATTGTAGAATTTTGCATCAGTTTTTATTGACTATTATTGTCATTATTTTTATTTTTAAAGCCAAGCGTCGAAGATGGGATCAACCAGCAGGAGATGAAACTCCATCTACACCTGCTAAAAAGAAGGCATCAAGCTGGGATGCTGCTGAAGTATGTTATAATCATTATGCTTTGTACTAAGTTTTTTTTTTTTTTTTGCTTAAAAAAAACTGTAAAATTTTCCAATCCTTTTTAATGAACCCTAATAAAATCGTTATGTTCGAAATAACTATTAAGAACTATAATCTAAACACTTGGACCAAAACTGAAGTCTGTAATTTTGATATATTTGTTATGATTCTGTAAATGTAAAATGTTATCTCTCTTATTAATGACCTTAAACTCTACCCATCTGTTAAATATCACAGGATAATTCTAAGTGAGAGGGTAATAGGTTGTGCTAAAACAAACAATTTGTGAAAAGATGTTATGTTCACAATTGTGATATATAGTGCTCAGAAGATGAAACAATTTTTTTTAAAAAACTTTTTTGCCCTAAGTGCTAAAAGGAGCAGCTGCTAGCAATGCTGCATGACTGACAACTCTTATACGTTTTGAAAGATATTATTTATTTCACAGACAGCTGACACTCTTAGTTTTAGGCTTTGGCACTCTCCTGCTGCAACTAGTATTCATGATCTATCTTTATGAGACTCTCATATTTATTCACAATTTCATGTATTTTGATGCATGTCTGTCATTTCTCAAGTTGTGCAATGCTCCATCCCGTGTAAAATATGTGTTGTGAATGTTATGATGAAGCAGAGGATGGATTTTCAAGAGTGCCAAATAGCGCCATTTTTTTGCCTAAATTTGGCAGTTAGACATAAATTCTTGGGTGCATTCTATTACACTTTAGAATACACCCAGAAACTTTTAAAATATTTTTTCCCCTTATTCCTTATAGTACAGTACTCAACAAAAATAAATGCAACATAGTCTACTTAATGAATTATGCACTATACAATATTACCAAAATTACTAAACTCTGCATTTAAAATGCACTTTTTCTGTCATGTATGTGAAAGAAAAGTATTCTGATACTTCATCCAGTTCCAAAAGGCTGTATATCCTGTATAACATTATGCACAAAGTATGTTGGAGGTGGAGGGAAATCATTGTTTCATTTAAAGCATTACAGCAAGGAAAATAATTAATTTTTAGAAAGTTATCAAAACATTTTATAACAATGAAATGCATAGTTTACATTTAGCTGCAAATGGCTTTGATTTACTTACTATTGAATGGTGTAATTTAAACGTGCTCTTTAAATTCACCTTTCCTGTAAAATATATTAGTAAATTATTGTTAGTCCAAAGGGGCAATTTGCCCAGAAGGACTTTTAATTTCGTTTTGGCATTTTGCATTGGTTCACTTTCCAAATTTGTTGCCACCAAATATTATCACCTTATATTATATTTAAAGTAATTAAATAATGAAGAATCTGCATCATATTTTTAATAATGTACATTTCCACCCGAATATGGGCATCTGGAAGCCCAAATTTGGAAGTTGTTTCATATTTCCTAAAACATCAACGAATTTTTTATTAACAAACTCAATGATTTAAAATTGAGCCATAGCAACACTGTATGGGGGGGGGGAAAGCATTTTTATCTCCAGTGTGCGAGACTGTGAATAAAAAATTCTAAAGATATACTCATTTTAAAACTATTTTGTGATATGGGTATTGAACTGAATTTGTGATATTGCTGTTGAATTGAAGTGTGAACAACATAATATTTAATAAATAAAGGTATAACAAAACGTTAAAAAAAGAAGTCCCTTTGGGCGTAATGTAAATTCTGAAAGCTTTCAGATTTTCTTTCTTTCTTTCTTTCTTTTTTTTAATAACAGCTGCTGCAACATTACTTGTTAGAGATGTGAAAAGTGAAACAAATTGTATTGGAAATATTGTATTAAATATACTGAGAAATTTTAAATTTTATTTAGCCATGAAAAAAATTTTAATGGATGGCTGTAAAGAATGCTTTTTATATTTGTTAAAACATTTAATGGAAGTGTAGTTTTATATTTTGATAATTAATTTTATTTTTCCTCTTTAGTCACATACTCCATCAGCTAGTCGTTGGGATGAAACACCTGGAAGAATACCTAAAGGCTCTGAAACACCCGGCGCTACTCCTGGGCAGAGCACTAGAATGTGGGATGCCACTCCTGCTCATGCAACACCTGGGGCTGCAACACCAGGCCATGACACTCCTGGTCATCGAGCTACGCCGAGTGCTCGCAGAAACAGATGGGATGAAACTCCCAAAACTGATCGAGGTATATTTTTTAAAGTAATTAATTCAAGAATATTTAAATTTATGAATGCTGTGGAATTTTGAAAATGGATGACCTTTTTAGCAAAATCATTTGGCTTAATGGCTGATATCTCTTAAAATTTGGTTTTGTAAGATATTAATGGATAAGGTGAGATAATATATTAAGATGGGCAAGATATTAATAGGAAAATACAATAAAATAAGATTTTAAAATAAGATTATGTCCATTGTGTCTGGTAACCACCTAATTTAACAGATGAACATTATTCCATCTTGTCAGTAAGACAGTATTTCTTTCCTATCATAATGCTTGTTTTTAAACTTTCCAAGGTTCTGTTTTTCAGTCTCAGTTGTTTCTGTAATAGAAAGCACTACCTCTTAAATAATTCATACTATTTTCAAAATTCTATTCTATTGTTATTAAGACCGATAGTTCTTGGGTGGGATTGGGTTTTAAATGATATATTTCAGAAGTAATAAAGGAGAAATCATTTCTATAGCTTTCATGTAAATAGGCATGTGATTTGATACTATTGGTTTTTGAAGACAGTAGCTGTAGATCTCTAAAATTATCTGTTTTAAAATTATCATCCGTGTTAAAAATTTTGTTTTAATTTTCAAGCTAATGAATGAGTTGCTCCTTAAATAAGGACACCTAGAAAGCCTAATGTCTCTGTTAAAAATTTCACTATCAAAGCTTCATGAAAATAGTGTCACAGAGCAGTTATTAATGTTATTATTAATTATTAATTATGACTTGTTTGTTTTACAAAGGGAAATTTTTTTCAAATTTTGTTCTCCAGAGTGTGATTGTGTTCATAACTATTTTATTCTTAATGTGGGGGTGTCATTTCAATGAGGTTTTACTTCATATAGCTTTTCAGTAATAATATCATCAAGTTTGTATTTCACATTTAATTTGAACTTTTTAAACCTAATTACTTTATTGCTTTTTCCCTCTTAGTGTACATTTTTTTAATGCGAGTTCTCAATAAAGTTGTAGTAAAAGTTATTTAATTGTGTAAGGGCTTAAGAACTAAATATTATATAATGCAAAAAATTATGAAAGTAAAATGATTTCTATAATTTTTAATCATAATAATAGTTGTCACTATTGTATTATATGTATATTAGCTTAATTGGGATGTAATGCTTAGTTTAATATATTGTTCAAATTTTCAGAAACACCTGCTCATGGTAGCGGTTGGGCAGAAACTCCTCGCACTGACAGAACTGGTACAGATTTAATTCAAGAAACTCCAACTCCGAGTGCAAGCAAACGTCGATCTCGATGGGACGAAACTCCATCATCACAGTTAGGCAATCAGACACCTCAGACTCCATCTATGATGACCCCGATGACTCCAATGACTCCTATGACTCCAATAACTCCAAGTGGAATAACTCCTACAGGTGCTAAGGCCATGGGGATGGCTACACCTACTCCAGGTACACTCTTTTGAAGTTTTTTGATACGTTTATTGTCACATTTTTTTTTGAGGGCTAGTTTATTATGTATTTTTAAAATTTAGTACAAGAAATCATTTTGTCGAGCTCAGTATTCTTATGAACTTTTCCCTAGTCAAACCTTGTTCTTGAAAATATTAAAAAGTTAATTTTTTTTTGTTCGCACATAATTTAAATTGTTACTTGTTCTGTGCAGTTTAATGGATAACCCTTTATTTCTATTAATAATGCAGCAGAGAAAGCTAAGATACCAATTGACATTTTTATCATTTTTTTTTCTTACTGTAAAAATATTAAAAGATGGTCTCTGTTTTGATCTCTTAGGATGCTATGAAAATTCTAATTGCCTGAAAAGCATATTATGAATGCTTTTTTTGTGTGAAGCTAAAGTAAATTATTACTAAAAACTGAACATCGTGTGCATTGATGACACTAAGCATGAGCTCAAACAGCTTAAACATTGACAGAATTTTCTGTGAATGCACATATATTTATATTTCAGAGCATGTGCATTTTGACAAATTGTAAACATATTTATGAAAAATTAAGGAACTACTCTTATATATGCCCTCAGTTGGTGACAAATTTCTCACAGAATATTTTTGGCGAGAAACCCCATGGCGCCATATTACTATCTAAATTTTTCTCTACATTTCGAACTTTAAGCCTAAAATGTATGCAAAAACATGGTTTTTGAATGTGCAAAACCCCTGTTTTTAACACAAATTTACAACAAAAATCCAAAACAAAACAAAAAATTTAGATAGCAAAGACGTAAAGTTTCTAATGAAAAATATTTAACAAGATTATTATACACAGCGATCTGTTTTAACTTGAAAAAATCAGAGAATTGCACCAATCTATGTAGCAAAGGAATCTAGAAATTACGTAAACCTCGCTAAAATAAACTAACATAACAAGAATAAGTTTCAAACAATATCATTTACACATTGTTCTGTTTTAATTTTAAAAAACATCAGTGAATTGCACAATCTAGGCATTTCATTGCGTGCAAATCAACAAAATAGAACTAAAATAACTACAATAAATTACAAACAATTCAAAAAACAACAATAACCACAGAAATTCATAGGAAAAAATACTCAAAATTCTACAAAATAAGCCAACAACAATAAAATGTACTTACCATTGTGAATGCTTCTTCAAACAGCAAAAATATCAATTTCAGACATCAGGGAAACAACAATTCAAAACAATAAACACAAACACTTTCATCAAATATTCTACAAACAAATTTTCAATTTATCCCACAATTTCTCCCGTTTCAGAACTGTAACGGAAAAACATGCCAAATAAAACTCAAAATTGCATTTCTGATTATAAGTAGGCAACGTAGCTGTAACATGCCACCATATATTCTCTATTGTATTTCCAAAGACCTCCTGGTTCCCGCAGAAATTCCAAAAACACACTTTGATCTGCATAAACACGCTTGTGAACAAAAGACTCATTAACAACTCCAACATTTTACCTTTTAATACTAAATTTACTTAGCACACAATCCAAAATATGTGACTGAAGTTTTGCCACCACGTCTTTTATTGTAACATAAGCGATTTCAAAATGCCCACCAAAACAACCAACCAGCAAATAAAACCACTACAGCAAAACAAGTTTCAATGCCAAAATTGTTGCCATACAAACAACATCGTGCCAAAAACCAGCTCAGAACACATATTGATACATTTGGCGACTTGAGGGCAGATATAAGAGTAGTACCAATATTAAAAAAATATGACATATGTTAGCATTTAGAATGTCAATATAATTTTTCTCATTTAAATAAATCTCATTAAAAAATTTTTAAGGGCACATAATGGCTATGACACCAGAGCAACTTCAGGCCTACAGATGGGAAAGGGAAATCGATGAACGCAACCGACCACTAACAGATGATGAACTTGAAACTATGTTTCCTCCTGGTTACAAAGTCCTTCAACCTCCAGCTGGTTACATACCTATTCGAACGCCAGCACGTAAGCTTACTTCTACACCCACTCCTCTTGGTGGAACATCCGGATTCTTTTTCCAGAAAGAAGATCCTGTTAAAATGATGGATACACAACCAAAAGGCAATCTTCCACCTTTGAAACCTGAAGATATACAATATTTTGATAAACTTCTTGTAAGTCTTACATTTGGTTGAATTTTAAATTTTAATAATGTTTTTATTGATTTTTAATCTAAATTTAGTTAAGAACAATGTAATTAAACTTTTATTTTTGTGTGTAAGCTAATTTTTTACAGCTGCTTGCTGTATTAAATTTATGCTAAGTTTAAATATTGATATTTACAGCATAAGAGTTTTAAAAATTTCATTTTTGAAATGTTCTGCGCAAAAATTAAATTACTTAATGTATTATTTCACTGACCATGAAATTGTCACCAAATGCCAAGTATGTCACTAAACTCCAGTTTAGAGCTAAGTATTGGTAAATGTGATATAACTGTGGTAAAGATTATTTCGTTGGTTGTGGTGGCAAAAGTATATGTCACATGTTATGATAAACAGGAATATAGTGGCAACTTACCCCAGGACAAGATCCAGGTCTATAGCCCGCCGTGACGAGAGAGTGAGAAACACGTGAAAACAGATTTAATTCTTGCTTTATTGAATACTAACAATGCTGAAGAGGTATTCTTTTTTTTAATCCGGTGTGTCACATGATGATATGAGGCCTCCTCACTCAGAAAATAAAGATAGATCAATTCTTCCACAGACCCCTTCGAAGACTTGGTATATTTCAGCTCAATCACATGCAGGTACTCTTCATAGGGATGCCGGTCGAAAATGCCAAGCCCGGGGAAAAAAAAAAAAAAAAAGAGATTAGCTTAAATTCTGCAGCTACAGCATCAAAAAGAAAGAAACTCGTTTCCTTCATATGCACTGGGAGACCAAAGAAAGCTTGCACGATAAATTCCCAAAAGTTTGCATTTTACCCCACTCTTACCGTCTTTCTCTATGCAGCATCTTCATCTCGCACCTTCACAATCTCCTCCTTCTCCCTCTCGGTGGACAAAAATTACCGCCTTTTATAAAGTTCCACAGTTAAGTTTTCCCGCCAATGAAAAAAAATCCAGCGTCAGAAGGCAACCAATCGCAAAATACCTTCAGCTACCTAGGCAAACAGAAGTGAAGACGCTAGTTGTCTGACGCAGTACTTTCCTCCACTTACAACAGTTGTCTGATGCAATACTTTCCTCCGCTTACAAGTTATCTGATGAAATCTCTTCCTCACCTTACGACACAAGTTGGCGAAAAAAAGGAAACCGTAACCAATGGAATCTGATGCAAATATCTAAATATTTCTATAACGTAGTAAATAATTAATTCAATGTGACCTCGTCACGTTTGTCACTCTCTCATCACGGCGGGCTATAGACCTGGATCTTGTCCTGGGGTAAGTTGCCACTATATTCCTATTTATCATAACATGTGACATATACTTTTGCCACCACAACTGACGAAATAATCTTTACCACACTTTAACTGTCTTTTTCTATGTTATCTCCATCTCGCACCTTCACAAACTCCTCCTTCTCCTCCCTCTCGGTGAACAAAAATTACCGCCTTTTATAAAGTTCCACAGTTAAGTTTTGCCGCCAATGAAAAAAAATCCAGCGTCAGAAGGCAACCAATCGCAAAATACCTTCAGCTACCCAGGCAAACAGAAGTGAAGACGCTAGTTGTCTGACCCAATACTTTCCTCCGCTTACGGCAGTTGTCTGATAAAATCTGTTCCTTTCCTTACAAGACAAGTTGGCGAAAAAAGGAAACTGTCACCAATGGAATCTGATGCAAATATCTTAATATTGCCATAATTTAGTAAATAATTAATTCAATGTGACTTCGTCACAATAACCGTACACATACGCATTTTCATTTAATGCAGCCCTGATTTGTTTTTGATAAACCACATTTAGTTTTTATGAACAAGCGTCAGAAGTTCTGTTATTACTGTATTTCCCCCTTGCATTTAGGGGGAGAATTGGAGACCTGCCTTCTAAAAAAGAGCAAGCAGTGGATTATTTTCAAAGTTATAAAATTCTGCTATCCAGGGGGGACAAAAGAGAAATGTAAGTCAACTGAATATGGCGCACAAAACAATAATAAATTGGAACAGTTAAAACTTGTGAGAAGTTATACTCGTAGTGTTCTAAACAAAATTGCCAGTAAAATCAGAGGGTCTAATAAAAGAAATCAATGAAAGCCTTTGTATAAACCAGGTTGAATACTGATCATTTATTAAATAAAATGTTGCGTTCCTTCAGAATTGTGCAGGAATGATTGGTGGGATTTTGCTAGGATTTGCGAAACTTCATGGTTCAATGGTAGCCAATTTTCAGTGTCAGTGGTAATACATGAATACTAAAATCAGTTTATAGTCACTTTATTCTATATTTTTAATGGGATTGAAACAAGTAGGTATCTGTATTATGTTTATTTGTTTTATAGGCTGATGTGGATGAAGAATCTTTAAGTCCAGATCAACAGAAGGAAAGAAAAATTATGAAATTACTTCTGAAGATTAAAAATGGAACACCACCTATGCGAAAAGCTGCCTTACGTCAAATCACAGATAAAGCCAGAGAGTTTGGTGCTGGGCCATTATTTAATCAAATCCTTCCCCTTCTTATGTCTCCGACATTAGAAGATCAGGAGAGACATCTCTTGGTTAAAGTCATAGATCGTATTCTATACAAGTTAGATGATCTGGTGCGTCCTTATGTCCATAAGGTATGTTCTTTTATTTTTCATATATTGTTTATTCAATCTGCAATTTCAGAGTTCCATTAGCATTATTTTCAAACATTTATTAAATTTGTGCTTTGAAATTTTTGAATGCTCTGTAATTTTAGAGAATGTTATACTTGATTTTTATAAGTGGCTTAGCTGAAAAATTATGCATAAATGAACATTACATTTTGTTTAGAATATAGCTTTTATTTACTCTTTTGCAGTTAAAGTTTTGTCATCTTTACATTACCTAACTGTTCTTTTATCTTTATTCTGCTTTTCAGCATAATGTGAAAGAGAAGTATGTTATGAAAAGAAATATTGTGGTAGCTGCAAAATTAAGATAAAGGCATCAATATTTATGAAAATGTATAAACAGTATTTATAACAAGATATAAATAAAATAGTTCTTTGTTAAGTATTAATTTTTTAAATTTTGTTTTGTAACTGTAAAATGTACGCTGTCATTATAGTTGAAATCACACAATAAACAGGTTCTTCCAGATTAATAAACAGAATATATAAAAATTAATTTTTTAGTATTTGTATTTTATTGGAAACTTAATAACTTATTAAACTTAATATTTATATGAAAAAATTCAGCATTGTCTGATCATCCGCAGAAGTTACTAGTTCAATGGTGATTTTATGAATTGGGGGAAAAAAAAAATTATTTGTTTGGCTTATAATGATGTTTAAATATAAAGTATATAACGTGTGGGGATGCATATGTATATGTTGCCTTTCTAATGAATATAATTGAGAATATGCCAGAAACAAGCAATTCTACCAAATATTGAAACCAGAAGTACGTATAATTAGAAAGTACCAAAAATTATACTTTTTTTTTATTTTTTTTTTATTTGTACTGAAATATCTGAAGGGCAGTTTAAAACTTTCTGACTTAGGCAGGAAGTTTAATGAAAATATCTGCATTTTAAGTATAGTACAATAAATTCTAACTTTATACTTTCGGTAGTTGAAATGTTCATGTGTACTTATTGGAAAATTCTCAGATTGTTAATGAAGAAGCATGGATAATATAAAATCTGAAAAATAAAGCATTATGTGAAGATGTTTCTTAATACAATAATGATGTGCAATGGATATCAATGTCTACAGCTTGCAGCAAAGAGATTGTATCAACATTATATATCTATTATTATTTTCTTCTGTTTTGGGGATTTCTGTTATCGACTTTTACAGTATTTATGTTTTTCCATGTGCTTTGAGAAAACATGCTTCCTTAGAACTTTCATATATTGTCTATTAACTTTTTCAGACATCATGGATATTTTACCTCTGCAGCTTCAGAAAAGAGTTTTTAGAAATACTTTTTTACCCTCTTCCAAGATTGTGTCTGTATCACTTTGAAAAATCCATTTCTAGTGTTTTAAAACATGTGTCGATGAATTGATTGTCATTTAGGTTTCGAACAAATTCATCACGAGTTTTGTTCTAATCTGTTTTCATACAGTAATTTAATTTTTATCTGCTAGAATTTTGTTAACATTAAAAGCAGTTTTATTTGAATCATGTTTTTATTGAATAGCTGATAAATACACTTTTTTTGCAAAAAAATTGAAGCACCATGAAGGAAATGGTTGCTTTTGATGAATGGGGGGGGGGGGGGAAAAAAAAAAAAAAAAAAAAAAGATAAATTTTCCGTCTCTGTTACTGGTTTTATACTTTGCGAATTGTGCACTAGAAATGCGCGCTATGATCGCAATTCCTGTTCATTTGCCTTGAAACTTTGATCCTTTGCATGTTGATGATGCATCAAGATGTTTTTTGCATACCAAATTTCATCACGATCGCAAAAGTCCTTCTTGGTGCTTTGATTTTTTTGCAAAAGAGTGTATTCTCTGGTTTAAGTATATTGTTGCGAAATGTCAAGGCTCGGTAAGATGGCTTCCCCGCAAAGCAGTTTTAGGTTTGCCATAAAATGGCAAGGGAAGGCAGGGTTGCCACATTTGGCAAAAAAATCGCCTAATTGGCAACAAAATTGGTGATATACCATGGACGGTTGGAGAACCTTCTGGAACGAATTCTTACCGGTTTACCTCAGAATGTTCTTGAACACAAGCCGAAAGCTATATAAACCCTGCTGGTCCGCAGTCAGTTATTGTGTGTGTGCCTCGTCTAGAGTGCGAGTTAGTTAGTATCGAGTTGGTGTCCTGTCTAGCGAGTCAATCTCTGCAGAGTCGATAGAGTTGACAGCCAGGCAGCAAGTGCTGAGTGGGTCTGTTAGCACTGAAGGAGTCTATTAGTGTAGCGCGGTTAGTGCATCGTCGAGAGAGCGTGTTGAGCTCTGGGAACGACTGAACTGAAGAGTCGGGAGCTGTGCTCGTGTGTCGTCGAGTGCATCGCGAGTTGTAGCGTGGAGAGTCTTGAGAGTACGTGTAGTTCCGAGAACGACCAAGCAGAGTCGGGAGCTGTACTCCGGAGTCTCGTGCTTTGCAGGAAGCTGTCTCCACCATTATAGCCTGATAATCTGAAGGCTGTGTCACTGATTGTTCCAGGCTGCTTATAGTAGATCTTCGACGACTGTAAAAGTGTTTTGGAGCTGTCCTGATTAATATTGATAAATAAAGTGTGTTTCGATACTTCATCAAGTGTCGTCATTATTCACTCCAAATCTACGAACCCTGTACGAACGTGAAGGAAGAGAAAAATTCAACAATATATAATAGGAATTATAAAAATTCAATGTTGCATTTTTCATTTTGAACATTAGGAGGAGGGCTTATAAATAAGTAGCAATAAACATAATAAATTATCTTAATTAAACAAAATTAGAAGGAGGGATGAAACCTAGATTGGGTATATACCAATATTATCTTAGTGATATGATAAATATCATCTTAGTGAATGCTTAGGGGAACAGACTAAATTAAGTAACTGTACGAATTTAGGTAATAAATGCTGTTTAAATGTAGGTTTTCATCAGCAGATTCAAAAGCTGTGCCACTCAGAAGGGTAAAGAAGTTGAATACACAGTGGATTTTTGCATATAGTCTAAGCTTTTTTAAAGTGACGTGTCATCAGCAATGAAAAATAGATGCTGATAAAGAAAGCGATATTTTTTATGGCTATTTTTTGTTCAAATAGTTTATTTAATTGCTGTTTTGTTGCAGTGAGATGAATTTTTAACTGCTATTCATTTTAAATTTTATTTGATATACTAAACTTTCATAATTTGTATCCGAATAGTTCACGGCTATTCAAGTAGTGAATTTGAACTGTTTATTATTTTTTAATTTTTTATTTCTTTATATATGTGTGTATAATAATAATATATATATTTTTTTTTAGATTCTTGTCGTCATTGAACCTCTCTTGATTGATGAAGATTACTATGCTCGTGTTGAAGGTAGAGAAATAATTTCTAATTTAGCAAAGGTATGCAAGATATTTGATTTATACATAATTATATATATTCATCAAGAATTCTGTAATTATCTTTTTCATCTAATATTTATTGTATTCAATTGTTTTAGGCTGCAGGGTTGGCAACTATGATTTCTACTATGAGACCTGATATTGACAACATTGATGAGTATGTAAGAAATACAACAGCTCGTGCTTTTGCAGTCGTTGCTTCAGCTTTAGGTATTCCAGCCCTTTTACCCTTTTTGAAAGCTGTGTGCAGGAGTAAGAAATCCTGGCAGGCTCGTCACACTGGCATAAAAATTGTGCAGCAGATAGCTATTTTGATGGGTTGTGCAATTTTACCACATCTTAGAAACTTGGTAGAAATTATTGAACATGGTATGTATTTTTATGACTTTTAGGGTATTTTTTTAAAGAATTTTATCTAATTCTTATCCTGTTTTTCAAACAAACTCTATATATTTTTGCATGTGTACAAACAGATCTATTTTTAAGACAGTAATATTAACATAGTTTATACTAACATTTGATACATATAAGAAAAGGTATATTAATGTCATTTATCTAGGAATATAGTTGAAGCTAAGCTAAGAACATTGGGTAAATTGGAAAGAGTAGTTGATTCTTACTTTCCATATATTTTTGTTGATCGTTGTTTTGAATATTCCTGTAGTATACATGAATTATTCTTTAGACATATTATATATTTATCACTGTTTAATTCATTTCAACGTAAGATTCCTCTTCAGTGGGAATATTTTTTTTTTCCTATGGCCATCTATTTTTTCATGGAAGGATAAATATTTCAAAATTTTTTTAGAATATTTAAGCTCTTTTAATGTATGATCTATGTAAAATCATTCATAAATATGATTTACATAAAGACTTACCAAGTTGTATTTGGATGGTACAAACCATTCTGATATGTGATTCCAAACTGTATTTGGCAGTGTAGTATGTACACTGCTAAAAAAAAAAAGGGGGGGGGACAGTGATATCTCTCGTTCTACTGGGCCGATTGACAAAATTCAAATTGCGTTTTTCATGTCTCGAAAGCGCGACTTAGAATGTATATTAGATTTATATATAGCACTATTCTAACATAGGTATTTCGACACAAAATCGGACTTTTTCTGAAATAACATACCAATTTTTTTACATATTTCGATTCTGCATCTCAAATTATGCCAGAATACCAAGTTTTGTAAAAATCGTACGAGTAGTTTTTAAAATATTAGCTCTCAAAATTTTAGCTCCTCAATGTTAATTGAATTTGGCAAATATTTATTAATATCTCTTTTTTTATTAAACGTTTTTGATTTTTTCTCTCACATTTCGAAATTTAGGTTCATTCCAAATAAAATTTATCCATTTTTTGTGTTTTATTTTTAAATTTCTATTTTAAAATAATTTTTATAAATTTTTCGAAAAAAATTTTGAATTATAACCTATAAAATTTTTACCATCATCTTAAAGTAGGTGTATTTTTTAAGCATATCTGCAAAAAATTAGACTTTTTTTATTCAAAATTTTCTAAGATATACACGAATTTGCATATTTTCGAGTTTTGAAATTTGGCATCTTTTTTTTTGAGCGATAATAACGCCAAATGTGGTCTATGGATTTTTGTTACACTGAATTGCCACAGCTATTTTTAACCTTAAATTTCAAGTAAGATTTTACGAAGAATTAATTATATAACATTATTTCCCTCAATGAAGCGTAATAAATATTTATTAATACTATATGAAAAGCTATTTTTTTTTAAATTATAGATGATATTATTCAAATTTTTAACTATTTTTTTAAAATTTCTCTCTATCTTCCTTTTTTTAAAAAAAATAAGAGTAAATTTTTACTTTCGGCGTTTTATCGTCTGCTACTTTACTTTGTTTAAATCGAATTGTCTAAAACTGAGAATTTTGTTTGATATTTGATTTGAATTTTTATGACATTAACTGCATAATTTATTTCTAAACAATCTGTTGCTTTGAAGTGGCTGAAAGAGCGGCTGATACTATCATCCACATTTTTAAAGCACAGTATATTTTTATAGAAACATAATCTTTAGAATAATCATTTTTATAATTTATGAGTCAACATTATATAAACATACAGCCCTCTAGAGACTGAATTAATGGAAGTTCAATGGTTATGTAGAAATGATCTGCAGCTACTAATGGCTGGATAAGTCAGCAGATTCTGTGGACAAGTAAGAATAATTATATAAACGACACCCAACATTCTGGATTCAAATTAACAAGTAGAGGATACGATGTTTATAAAATGAATTTAAGAAGTTTTTAAAACATAAAAAATCCAACTCATTTTTTATCCCTAAAATGTATTTTTGTGCGTTAGCGTATTTTCATTATATCCTTAAAATTCTAATTTAGAATGTAATTGTCAAGAACTGAATTCTAATCATCAGTAATATAATAAGTAATTATTACGGTTATTAATAAATCCTTCTTATAAAATAATTGCAAATATTTCAAAAGTTAACCTTTTCTGAATGCAAATATTTCTAAATTTTATATTAATCAAGATTGCACACGATATTATTTATTTGCACTTCAATTCTTACCATCAGTTCCAGTAGAAGTTACAAATCAATTATATTTAATTAAGGATTGGATTGGATTATTTAATTATGGCAAAGTACACAAGGGCTATCTGCCTAAAGGGAGGGATGCCTTCGTCGAGGACTTTCTAAGGTAAACTGGCTCATATACACGTTATACATGGGGAAAACACCGATGCGGCCAGCCCGTTCGCGAGATTCGAATCTCGGACCGAACTACCAATTATCAGCGTCTTTACCCAGGGTTGCCACGCTACCTGGAAAACCGGGAGAACCGGGAAAAGTCAGGGAATTCGAAAATTGACCAAAAATTCAGGGAAAAGTCAGGGAATTTAAGTATTTTTGTCAAAATCTGGAAAAGTCAGGGAAATTCATACAATGATCCCGCCAAAAAAAGCGATTTTTGCGCCGACGTCGGAAGAGATAACTTTTTTTTTTTTCGAATTATGCCTATCACGTGAGTGTCATTCGGGTAGCTGGCATAGAGCCAATTTTCGCAGCTCCAATTTGATTGTCTTTTAGAAAGGCAAAGCAAGTTTCCCGCAACTTTTGGTTTCCAGTATTCTCGAGAATCGCATGTGCAGTGCATGAACTAAAGAAAGTACCTGTTCTCGTATAAAACAAAATGGGTTTAATCTTAGTATACGGTACCATGGAGGTTAGAATCAAAGAATATGTATTGTAAAGAAGGAAACCTCTCTGCAACAGACGTGGCTCCGTTCCATCATAGAGGGAAACAGCTGTGCATGTCGTGATATATCTGCCGCCAAAGCTCGAAACCGGTGTCGAAGTTCGAAGGTCACGTTATCAAGAGTTCATAAAATGAATATCCTTTAAAATTTCTTTAACCACTTGCGCTAAAAAGACGTGCCACGCACGTCGAGATGTTTTTTGTCTCAAACTGCGAGCGACGTGAACACCACGTCGATAAGCATTTATCGCAAAAAATGAAAATAACAACGTGGTGCACACGTCGCCTAACAACGAGATTGTTTATTTCTCGAGTTACAGCTCTGGATTGCACTCGCAGATGCGGAGCGGCGTAAATGAGACACTTTACCGCTTGTTATATTGTAGCGCACGGCACCGCAACCGTGAAGTTTAGTCTTAGCGCAAGTGGTTAAACTCTAAAGGAAAAGAAAATATTTTTTGGTGCAAGTAAATTAATTCATGGATTAGTAATTTTCAGGGGGGGGGGAAAACTACGAAAATCCGTTTTTAAAATTATTGCGAAAAATCCAAGAAGAAACGTCCTTTGATAAAACGTTTCTTCTTGGATTTTTCGCAATAATTTAAAAACGGATTTTCGTAGCTTTTCTTTTTGTCAAAGAACGTTTCTTCTTAACACGTTTCTCAATTTCCTGTACACATCGCGGAGAGGGAAATTCTGGCCGCCAGGTTCCGTCGCCAAATCCCTTGGCAAATTTTCCCTCCGCATTCTAGCGGCGTAATAGCATTTTACTTGTATGGAAAATTTTCTTCTTTACATAGACCAAAGAATTAGAGATTCTTTGCATAGACGTTTTTTGGTTAAAATAATCTCCATGTATGGATTTGGCGACATGATGATGCGCAGTAAACGGGTCATTTTGGTCTTGGCGACAATTTTCAAAATCGTGCCAAAGCCTTACCGTATACTAGAATTTTACCGCATGTCATCTTGGCTAACCATGTAATATAACTATATTCGCTAAAATATCGTTGATTATTCTAATTCAATTTTTAAGTAATTATCTTTATTTTATGTTATTCATATAATTTAATGATGCTTCTTCCCTCTAAATTTATTTATCATTAGTAAATAATATTTCCAAATTTCAGGAAATTTTCTCTGGCATAATCTTGAAATTAATTCTAGCAGTATGATGACATACCATCACGAAATTTAATGCACATATTTTTTCCTTATGTATGCTGCGAAATAAATATAAAATACCTCAATTTATTAAAATAGATTTCTTTCTTTCGTTTAGCTGCAGAATGTCTGCAAAAAAAAAGCCTTATTTTATTCCAGATTGGGAAGATTCTAATCTCAATCTTCAGTGGAGAAAACAACAACTATTATAATTATATTTGTGTTTTCAAGTGTTAAGGTGCCTTTTAAGAACATACCTCACACAAATTAAATTTACCTAAAATCTAACCTAACTATTTAGCATTGCGTTGTGATTTATAAGGACCGGATTAGCCTCGTGTTGAACTGGTGATGATCATGAGTAATAATTAAATAAAACATACATTTGTTATCCAATGTATATATCTTAAATTTTTTCAAGTTTCTTAAGTGGAAAAGTAAACAAAATTATCAAACAAAGTATACCAAGAATAATTAAGAATAAATGTCCTCTGGGATTTATTGAATAATTAAGTGAATTTGCTACACAATACAAGTAATACCATAATTAATTTACCTCTTAGCACAGCCAACGTACATTACGCGATAGACTGGAATTTTCTTGAAACACACCTGGAAAACCTGGAAAAGTCAGGGAATTTCATTCTCCTGTTTGAGTGCACCCTGTTTAAGCTCGGCTCGTGGGCTATTTAATTAGGATGACCATCTAAGTTAGAAACAGCGTCCGTACAACAATTTGGCCTATCTAGTTCCCTCGTTGATTTTTACGGTATTCGGGGTTTCAAAAATTTGCGTAGGATAATGACACGATTTCGGGGTCAAAGGTCCCTCCTCATCAGGAGAAAGAAATATAGAAAGAAAAAAAAGGAGAAGGAGTACAGAAATGTATTATCACAGCAGGGTTAAACTAGATTTTAATCAGAGTTCACTGGCGCCTAC